GTAACCCGAAAAGTTCTTTAGTAGAGGCGTTCGTATCCCGAGGTACCACTGTAATGGCTGATAACTTCAATCCTGACTTCCTGGCTAACATAGTTTGGTTTTTTTTTTTAAATATCAGCTGTGAGATGAGTTGGCGATACAGGCTACTAGCAATGATTTTTATGATCAAATATACATATCCCAATTTAAAGAATAATATTTGGCTAAAAAACCATTGAGATTCAGAGCACTTAAGAATGCAGGAAAAAATGGAAAGAAATAGCTATTTTTCAAAACAAAAAGGCAATTCTGATTTCAGTGCACACCTTTAACATATTCTTTGCCTACTCCTTTTTTTCCTGATTTTTTTCTCAGTTGCATCTGGATCCTTTTCAGTTGGGGTTCACGCCAGGTTATAGCACAGAGATGGCATTTGTCGCACTGGTAGATGACCTGTGGAGGGCTTGGGATAGGGATGGTACATCTGTCCTAGCCCTTCTGGGTCCCTCAGCAGCTTTCAGTACCATCGGCCATGGTATCTTTCCGGACTGGCTCCAGGGGCTGGGAGTGGGGGGCACTGTTTGTGGCATTTGTCTTCTTTCCTCTGTGGCTGGTTCCGGTCGGTGTTGGTTAGGGGAGAGATATCGAGCCCTAGGCCACTGAAACGTGCAGTGCCTGAGGGCTCAAGTCTCTCACCCCTCCTTTTTAATATCTACATGAGACTGCTGGGATGTGGTACACTGAAGATGACCAATTATACATCTCCACCCCTGGCTGGTCAACCAATGCTATCCCTGTGCCGGTCCAGTATCTGGAGGCTGTAAGGGTTTGGATGGGGAGGAACCAGCTTCAATTCAACCCTAGCAAGATGGAGTGGCTCTGGGTTTTTGAATGTCTTGGGTCCAGTGATATGTCATCTTTGTCTCTTGCCAGGCTAGCACTCCCTTGGACAGAGCTGGTATGCAATTTGGGGGTCCTCCAGGACTTGTGGCTCCTGTTCAAGGAGCAGGTAGCAGCCATGGCTGGGGGGCAGGCTTCGCACAAATCCATCTCATGCACCAACTGCAGCCATTCCTTGACTGGAAGGCTTTGCTCACAGTCATTCACACCCTGGTCACTTCACAGTTGGATTACCGCAATGCACTCTACATGGGGCTGCCCTTGAAGACTATCCAGAAACTACAATGGTTCATAATATGGAAGTGTATGGAGTTCTGGGGGCTCCATGTTTTGCCCATATTACACCACTGCTGCAGTGGCTTCCAGTTTCTTTCCAGGTGCAATTCAAGGTGCTAGTTATCACCTTTAAAGCCCTAAATGGCATGGGACTAGGCTACTAGCAGGACTGCCTCTCCCTGAGGGTATCTGCGTATCCCACCAGGTCAGATATGGTGGGCACGCTCCAGATCCTTTCCTTTAAATGTTGTCATCTAGCTGGACCTAGGAAGTACACTTTCTCTGTAGCTGTCCCTGCCCTGTGGAACAAACACCTTTTCCCATAGATCTGGCAGGCTCCCATCTTCCTTGCCTTCCAGAAAGCCTTGAAGAAGTGGCTCTTTCCATAAGCATTGGGGTAGGATGTAGCTGGAGCCCAGCAAGATGGTTTGTAGATGTATGGAGAGTGTTGCCCCAGGATGCTATGAGTTTTAATAAAGTTTTTACTGATTTTTATTTTTTTATTTGGGAGTTTCTATTGTTTTTACTGCTTTGTGTGCCACCCAGGGTTGTTCTTATAATATGGGTGGCTAAATAAGTCTTTTAAAATAAATATTATTTGTTCTTATCAATCTCCCATTAGCAGAATTTACTGTTCTTGAGACTTAGCCACACAGCCTCTAAGAAAATAATAAGGCTAGTAAATTACCTCTGTGTTTTGTTCCTTTCAATCTTTTCCAAAATCTGCAGATGTGTTACATTTGTTATGTTTTTCTGGTGAACACTGAGCCTTATAATATTGGTTATGAATGTTAATGTAGAATGGTATTTGCCTCTGGAGACTTTTTTTTTAGTACCTATGTATAGACTTACAGATAATACTTGTTTTCATTTAGAGCAATATTTGAAACTTTACGTACATATATATTCATCAGATTATTCCCTTTCAAAATAAGCAGTGTTCTGCAGAGTGCAGAAAAGGAGTAAACACAATAAGCCAAAAAAATTAATGGGCTATAAGAAACAGCCAACTCTAATTGACACCAATATCAATACTTTTCCATATTTTTCTGTCTTTGCAAACTGTTCTTGCTTCCACCATGTCCATGCACCGCCTTCTTTAAACTTCTTGTCTCTTTTTGAGGTTCTGTCATCAGTTTCTTTCAACCATCATGGAATTTCTTTCCCTTTCCTTCCCTCTTTATTTATTTATACTTATTTTGAATTAACTTCTCATTCATTCTTTCTAAATGACCTCAGTGTATGTTTTTTATAGTGGTTATTTACTCAGCATTCATTCATTCTTGACCCAATTTCTTTTCACTTTACCTCACACATTTAAGTTTCATTTTACAACTCACTTTTATATTTCTCCTGACATACCTCTTACTTCCATAAAGTAAATGGGAGAGAATCACACCATTTTCACTTCTTTTGACATTCATTCCTCAGAAATATAATAGGCTACATACTACCTTTCTAATAGCATTTGGACAACTTATAATTTCTCCATCTGTTTCCCATCTTCAATAAACATATGATGGCACACAAATTCATCCATTTGCTCTAATTTTTCACCATTGATGTATAATTTGCAATTGTTCACTCAATTTTCCTTATCAAACATAGCTATCTTTGTTTATAATAGATTAATTTTCAGATCCACGCTCCCTGTTGCATCATACAGTTTAAAACATTCACTGCAAATTATTCAGGTTTTCAGCTAAAAACATGGCATAGTCTCCATACAAAGATATATGCTGTACTCATATTCTTACTGATGTCAACATAACCATTCCTTACACATTTATTTATAAATATAATGAAACTTTTTCTATTAATATAAATATGAAAAAACAGTAAAAACACTTTAGTTTTTTCACAGGTCTGTTTCTATACAGATCTGACTTCACTGCACATCAGGTTAGTAGGCAAAGGGAACAATGTCAAATATGATTGTAGAAATGAATTTTCAAGGAACTTTTGAAACAGTAATGCACACGGTAAGCACAACCAGCACAATACTACATTTAAAAAGAGCCTCAAGAAACTAAAACTATTTTACACTATTTCATAAAATACTAGAAACAACAATTTATACAACATGGATTTGTTTTTAAATGGAAGAATCTATCAGTGAAAGAATAGCTATGATCTGCTAACTTTAGAGACTTTATGATTGTTCTCTGGGAGCTGTTTAATGTAGAGCTTACTTTTAAGAAGTATAGTACTTCTAGTTGTTCAGGATGCACCACGAAGCTGAAAAGAAAATATTAATGATTTAAATAATTTTATGTCAGTAATTTCCATCAACATTTCAAACGGCTGTTTAGTAATTTTGCAGCATGTAAATGGATGTTTCACTTTATTTAGCTGTTATACCAGAACAGATTAAAACATACTGACATGCATAATATTATAAGAAATAACATGAACCTTGCAAAATTCCTATAAGATTAAAATATTTTAAATGGCAGAATATTCATATCCCAATTTGACTAAGACACTTAAATTGTTGAGCCTTGGCAATCTTTTTTATCTGACTGATTATTAACAGCACAGCTTTAGAGTAAATTACTTGTAACCTGCATATAAGTTTATGTATATAATGTGTGTTTTTAGCCTGATTTAAAAAAACAGCCACCGATTTCCATCATAACATACATACACAGAAATGGGGGGGTGGAAGCTAATGAAATTTGTTCAGTTAACCCAACAATTTAGTAAAATGATGTATAAATAAAAGTGCTTGCTTGACATTTAAATGATAAATGTTTGGGAGTCAGGTTAACCCCTTTAGAAAGGTACCACAGCTGAAAAAACTCCCATAGATTAACTTTGCAACTTCTGATGAAAAGATACAGAGGAGGATATTTATAGGAGATCTTAAATGTTGGGTGGATACAGAAGAATTTCTTCAACTTTTTTGGTTCTTTCTGGATCCAGTACTAACTGAACCTTCAAAATGATCAACCAATATCTTAAATTGGATCTGGAGGCAAGCATTCAGCAAATAAAACTCATATGAATCAGCATATTTGAATTACAATTTTGACAACTGTATTCCCTACTAATAAATGCTTTTGAATTATCTTCATTGAATGGAGAGGGGTTGGACTCAGTGACCAATTCCAACTCTGAAATTTATAGAACAGAGCAGTAATTCAATAGAACAGAACAGATGTCAAACAGTCAAACAGGGTGGCATCAACTAAGTTCATATATTCCACAAACCATAATATTTTTGTTCTAAAACTCATAGGTAAAGCCAGCCATCTTGTTTTGCAACATTTACAACTTCGCATTATGTATGAAGCTAGGCTTCTATGCCTTATTTAATAAACTATGCTTTAAACATAGTTTGTTGAACATAATATTTATAACATATTTAACTGTAGTTTTAATTGATGTGTTTTTATCTTTTGCTTTTTTGTACTACTGTATATTTGTTAACTATCCTAAGTGTTTTATGAATGGAAAGTTGCTATTGCTATATAAATCAAATGAATAAATAATGTCCCTATTGCCTCTGTCTTGAATTTCTGAAAAATAATTATTTAATGATAGAACACCAACTAAAAAATGGGGGCCTGATACTTGCTTGCCTTCCTGCTTAGTTTTGAGGTTGTTTCCTAAGAAAGTGGTTACAAATTTAGGGCTTTACACTTTGTAAGGTTTGTAGACCTGAATCTCAGAAAATCCAAAACTAGGAATTCAGGCAGAGGCTCTTTAAAAGGAACAGCACTTCATTTGGCCAAGTGAAGCCGCTGGGTGGGCAGCAATCCCAAAACACAGGCGGCAGAAAGTTCTGGGAAGCTCCACACCAACAAGATTTTCAAAGGTAGTTTTTATAGCTTTGCAAAGACAATAGATTGCAACTAATAAGGCAGTTTAAGGCAGTTTGAACCAGTGTCCCCATTACCCTCAAGACCTCTCCCCCCTCAAGGTTTTCTGTGTATATGTCCTTGCTTCAAGATAATGATGTCTTCCTAGCCAAGCAAAAAATACAGAGGCGAGATAGCGAGAGCCCGGCTAACCCCCCCCCCTTCACTTTAAAATTTGCACCTTTACTTATGTTAGCTTTGCAAAGACAATAGATTGCAACTAATAAGGCAGTTTAAGGCAGTTTGAACCAGTGTCCCCATTACCCTCAAGACCTCTCCCCCCTCAAGGTCTTCTGTGTATATGTCCTTGCTTCAAGATAATGATGTCTTCCTAGCCAAGCAAAAAATACAGAGGCGAGATAGCGAGAGCCCGGCTAACCCCCCCCCCCTTCACTTTAAAATTTGCACCTTTACTTATGTTTGAAGGGCTAGAAGGACTGTTTTGTGAGTCTCAGGGAATGAAATGTAGATCTAGTTATTCTACAAAAATCAACATCACACACAATCAATATAAATAAAAAGAGGAGTTCTGATGAATATTGAAGCTTGATTGTAAATTGTCAATTTGCTTGGTCATTTCTACCATAATGGTAATTTTATTAAGAATAATTACCATTTTGTGTAAATTAAAACCTCTGGTATTAATAACATTATTTTGGTGAATTTTAACACAGTATTTAATTTTTGTGCTACAACTGCCTGAAATATATTAGTTATCAATATATTTCAGGTAGTTATAACACAAAATTTAAATAAATTTAAAATCTACAGTTGTTTGTAGATTAACAATAATTTACAAAGATACAAACCAAATCAAAATTTCTGCATGCATTTTTTCTTTTAAAAAACTATATTGTAAATTGGTCTCCTGATTTCCAATTTAAAATGTATTAGGCAATGCTGTTTTCATAGTTACAGACATTAAGACTTTGGTCATCAGTTTTCTTACCACAGAGACACTAGATATTTTCAATCCACTTACATTAAGAAAGAACAGGAACAAAAAAAGGTGTGCTAGACCAGATCAAAGACCTATTGAGCCCAAAAGTTGTTCTCAAATAGCTAAAGAGATACATTTTGGAAGGCCCAAAGCAGGACATAATTGTAATAACACCTTCCCACTTTGGATCCCCAGCAATTGCTGTTGAAAATCATGCTGATACTGGAGGTAACTGCAGCCATCAAGACTAATAGGCATTGGTACTTTTAAAGTTTTAGTGGTGACTATCATTACATATTGTGGTGATGATTTTCATTGTTTTACACAATATTTGGGCAGACTGGCCCAAAGTCACCCAGTTGGCTTTGTGCCTATGTGAGGCTAGGGCTCACAGTCTTCTGATTTCTAGACTGGTGCCTTAAACCATTACACCAAGCTGGCTCTCCTACACACTTAATAGTGTTACTTTAAAAATACCTTTCTCCTGTCAGCTTAGAACAAACGTATTAACCCCTTCCAACATTAAGATATTTCCTTTTAAATTTGCTATTTGCAAAAAACAACAAGGGAATTGACAGGGTAGAAATACAGCTGTTAACCTAATGCCATTCTGTGCATAGTTAGAAGCAAGTCTATGAGTGTTCAATGAGATTTATATTCTAATAAAATTCGCTAAATGGATATTTATCTGCTACTGTTTCTAAGAGTAGAAGTAAATGATGATTGGAAAGATGGAAGAACACAAGGAAATAGATAACTTATAAAGTAAAAACAAAAAACACCACCATTACCAGGAACAAGCATAGTTGTAATGCGTTCTGGAGCTTCCAGGCAATCTACATTACTTCTTTGGAATGACTTGCTATAATTCATCTGGAGATGGCTGTAGAAATAAATATTTATTTTCTTACACAAAGTCATACTTAGAAACCTTTTTGGTTTCAATCTGTAGCATTAAAATGCACCACTAAATTAATCAGGAATAATAAAAATAGCCCAATCCAAACCTAGAGGTCCCAATTCATATATGAATTCTTCAAAAGTGCACAGCCTCACAACCAGACAGAACTCACACAGAGATATGACTTGTGATTAAGGTGCCTCAATGGGGGAAGGTGTAGTTGTGATTTGTGTTATCACAGAGCTTCTTTCTCTGATCTAAAAATAAGATAGAGCCACCATGGGCTTCTGAGGCATTTGTTCTGTAGCCACACTTTTATGCCAGAAAAGAATTCTCACATATTAAAAATATTGCCATATTTTATTTGAGTATTTTCTGAGCTTTGATGCATCAGTGTTTTCATCTTCAACTCTATTAGAATCAGCTGCATGCTTTTATCTCATTCTTTTACATTACTTCCTGCTTGACAAATGCCTGTGGCCAAGAAAACCTTCATATTTTAAGGATCAGTACTGCTGGAATAGGAAGTTGGTATTTATCAGAAAGGTAACTGATTACACCAATTAATGTAGAGAACTGACACACAATATACAGCTTATGTTGCCTAAGCCCGATTATGCTGATGTATAATAGTGTTTTAGAAGTCTACTTACCTGTTCCAGGCATTGTGCTCCCAAAATTCATACACAATGAAACAGGATTTGCTTGAAAATTTCTGAATGGAAACACTAGAAAATAAGCACATAATTTAGTTGGATAAAAAACAACCCATGTGAATACTTCATTTATTTAAAAGCATTTCTGTAGTATTTTTCACCTTAGGGTTGGTACAGGCATAATGAGAATGTCTAGTTTCTGTAATGCTAAACTAAGAAAGGTCATTTTTTATTACCTTGAGATTGATATTTTAAATAAACCATCATTCCCAGCACTGGAACATCATATAAAACTGACTGAAAGCCAAAATGCACGTGCGATAAATGGTATTCAGAGGGATGTTGAGCCTAGGGCTGAGCAGAGTATATTTTAGCACAAAACTCTGATTTCCTAGCCATAGCATAGTGGTCATTTGAACTGTGTATAACTTAATAGAAATTTGACATTCACTGTTAGACTTTTCAGTAAGGAAATACATGAATATATGCATAATTATTTTTACTGAAACTTTTAAAAAGTGAAATACTGTTAGTTGTTTGGAGGAAGAGCCATTGAATCCAAACTCCCCAAATCTGATGGATTTCATAATCTGACACCTAGAAACTACACAAGAAGTATCTCTTGGAGCACACAATTCCTTATTCAATTGGCAAGACTTGTAGGAAAGCCTACTTTCTTGGGCATTTGACCCTCAACTGAATGAAATGGAAATTTTCAGTCCTGGGGTCAAACTCATTTTCAGCTACATAATTACAACAAAATGTCAAATTTGAGAAGTACCAGCAGATGGCATCATCTACACGGGAAATAATAAAACATCAGATCAAAATGGAAATGTATCTTAGTTTTCTATATTACTGATGTTAATTATTTTCTCATATGGATAGCAGTTTCCAGTAAAATTGTTGTAATTCTACTCCACTTACATTCTTTTGTTCACTGTACCTTCAAGAATTTCAGTAGATGTTACTTTGGCATAATGGACAACATTTACTAGTACGACTAGCTAAATGTAATGCAAAGTGTGTTTTTTTTTAATATTGATTTTTGTTTATATAGCTCTGAACTAGTTTTGTCAACCAGTTTGCTTTGTCAGCAGTAATATGCAACATTCAAACAGAAATTGGAATTCAACTTTTGGGAAAAATGTAATCCTATGCATCCAAATAAGTTTGACTGGTCAGCCATAGTCTGTTAGCTTTCTTGGAGTCAGAGAGCACAAGTGACAGCCTGCTGTAATGTATAATCTCTACTTTTTAATAGACAAAAGTTTTGCAGTTAAAAACATAAATATTTTACACTTTGAATGATTTGCACTGTAATATAAGTAAACTAAAATAAAGTACCGAGAGATCCCATAGAGGCTTTTGGCAACAGGAAAGCACTCATTCACTTGTTCTTGGTTAATACTTGCACATTCAAAATCTAATCCCTGTTTACTCAAAAGTAAATTCTGTTCCTTGAGATTTACTTCATAAAATGTATGTTAAGGATTGAGGCCTTGTATGTGGCTCATCTTCTGAGAAATAAGGCTGCTCTATTCAGCCAGATTTATTCCCAGGAAAATAAAGATGGCCTCTTCTGTCCTATTAATGGCTGGTTTCCTAGGTTACTATGGCCCGAGTTCTGTACAATTATAATCCAAGAGAACAATATAATGGAGGGACAAAGTTTGCTGAATCAGTCAGACTAGGATGTTTTATAAATGCCCTTTATTAGTGATTTCCAGTGCCTCTCAAAGTGCAATCTCCCTATAATGACCTGCACTCCCCCATCCTTTGAGAATAATGTCATACTCACTGCAGACATCCATCCTGAGAAGAGGCCATATCTATGTACTGCTTTAGAGCAAAGCGGAATGGCTCTAGTTCTTCTGTGATCACTGACATCTGACGTTGAACAATCATTATTTGCTGACAAAACAGTAGTACAATCTGATTAATTTACATTGACTGAACTGCCATCAAATTACCTTTTGTCATTTTTAATGCTTATTCTATACCCCTTCCCTCTGGTTTTCTGGTTCTTCCTTGCAACCCCAGCCACATTATTTTGGGTCCACTGAATATGCCTCAGTTAGTTGTTATGGCCTTTTTTTCCCTAAAATTTTTTTTGTATTTTTATCGATTCTGGGTTTCCCTTCCATATGCTAACTTGCTTTATGAATTCAACATGTAAAAATATTTCTAAAGCTTAATTGTAGTACAGTGGTACCTCGGGATACGAACGCCTCTACTAACAAACTTTTCGGGTTACGACCAGCTCCGGCCGCA